AGGATTTATGAATGAATGAGCAAGTGAACATCAGAATTCAAGCAAACATAACCAATACCAAAACGATTTTTCTTTTTCTTTTAGGATTTATGAGCGACGTAACAAGTAAATAACACTAATCAAGCAAACAGAAGCAATAACAAACGATTTTCTTTTTCCTTTGGGTTTAACGATTGAAACAAAGCAAAATAGAAGAACTAAAACAAGGGAACGAGATAACTGATGCAAAAGCCTTTCGGCTCTGATACCAGATGATGTAGGATCAATGATCTTGATCTACAAGTGATGATAAGATGGTATTGATATAGCTGTTCGTACGAAACTCTCTAGAACAATAATAGTGATGATTTGTGAGTGAATGAGATGGAGAATACTCTAACTGTCCGTACGGATCTCTTTAGAGTATTCAAGTGAATGAAACGTGAAGATGGAGTGATGGACGCCACACAGATGGTTGATTGGTCTGTGATAAGTCGAGATGCAGCTAGTTCTTCAAGGATTCACACACAAGAAGAAGAGAGCGGCTAGGATTCTTCAAGAGAAGAAAGTTCGTTCTTTATTAATATTAAAAGTGAAAAATAATACAAGGTGCAAAGGAACCTTATAAATGGTTCGTCAGCTCTACCTTCTAGGGCTTATTGTTTTAAAAAGGAAAGTATAAAATGCAACGAATTACAAGAAACAACTACTTAAACTATTTCAAAAAAGTTCTTAAAATGGAAAGAGAAAATTCCTGCAAAACAGAAAAGGAATTCGAATTCAAATACTCATCTTGATTGTTTGAATGCGCGTTTTCTTTTCCTCAAAGGCTCTTTGAAATGATGAAAATGTTTGATTCGTTGTTTCCTTGTAGAACTGGTAGAAATGTTGTAATTTGGTTCTTGAGCCATTCCTTGTTGTTCTTGCTTTCTTGTTGTATTTCCATCTCCATGTTGACGTGATCTTGATCATCTTCCAAGCATTGATTCCTTGTTATGCCTACATTGTCTTATATAGTGAAAGGATTCTCTTGAATGATCTCTTTGGTGAGGAGTGTCTTCTTGAGGTCTTCATGATCGATTAGGGTGATTAAGCTTTGTATTGTCTTGTTGAACTCCTCTCTTAAACTCTTGGTTCCTGACCTTGTTCTTGGAGCTTGCCTCAAGGTTGGTATGTTGATGGCTTGTGCTACTGGTTCGGTTTGTGTCATTGATGTCCTCATCAAGAGTTCACCTCAGATATAAATTCTAACTGTCACTATTGTTGAACTCTATTGATTTCTAGAAAACGACATTCCACAAGTATTAATAGTGAGATCAAACCATAGAAAATCAATTTTCAAAATTTTTAAATTAAAAACATTGGAGTTTAACTATTCAATTTCCATTATATTCTTTGATGATTATGTTTGTTTGTGTGTATGGACAACAAAACATAACATATAAAGCTAAATATGATCTCACTCGATTTATGTCAAAGGAATATATTGAGAAGAAAATGTTTACAGCGTGGATGGAAAAAAACAAAGAATATGAAGAGACCTGCCAACAAAATTATTTGGAATTTCCAAGAAGATTTACCGGAACAACGACAAT